CAAAAAGAAGTTTGTAAAAAAATGAATCCGCCTCAACAATATAGAACTTATCTACACAGTAAAAGTTACTGGTTTCTTCTGGGTTATTTAACCAGTAATCTTTTATCAATGTTTGCTTCATCTTCTCAGCAACTTGTGATCTCAAGAACTGATTCTGCTTCTTTTGTTGCTTACTTTATTCTATTCTTCATTTTGCGTGCTATAACCAGCAGTTGGTGAGAGATCAGTTGATGTTCGATTCGCCATACTGACTCACAAGATGTCGTTGCTGCCAAGACGCGCACAGCCTAAGTATTTTTACACGATACACTTTGCACTTAGTTTTGACATTTTATGGAATATCCAACCATTAAAAGAACGTCTCGCACACGATAACGCGAGCGAATCCAAACTAAATAATTTTATTTAATATTTTATATTTATGCATCAAGTGTAAATTTGAATTAAAATTTTATTAGTCATTATGAAATTCGGAATACAATACTGTGCAGACATAACCCATAGGAAAGTTTCCACCAAACCGCATCTTCGCTATTTAAAAATCAATAAGTCAATAAAAATTTGTAACCGATTATAATATAAAACTTCTATATTCAAATTGAAGCCAAATCATCAAACTATTCACTAGACATGTTTTTAGATTCGTTACCTCCGTAGAAACCGGCAATTTTATACAATAATTAAATTTGGACTTACCATAACTGTTCGACCACTGGCTAAGTTAACCTAAGTATAACATCAATTTTTGGTCTGGCTCGGTGGACAAGAAATACAAAAAGGACGGCAATTATTGCGTCACTGCCAAAAATCTTGGGACAGACTATACACGTTTCCTATTACGTATATAGACTTGAAACCGGGCCTGTGGGTGCCTGAGATTAACACACTTCGAAATATGTACTCGCGATGAGTCAGATCTTTAAGTTCAGTACTGAGCTTATTGGATTAATTACCTTACAATCCACTCGGCAGTGTTGCTGACCAGCTCGCGGGTAATAATGTCGGTGATACTGGCGACTGCAATGGCGCAGTAGGCCCCACGTATATCGATTTCGCCCCCAATGTGCATTGCAAAGGACCCATCGGGCTGCTTTAAGCTTTGTAGAAATTCGTAGAGTGCTTTTCTGCGGAAAAAATCATTCTATTGAAGCCTATCCGTATAACAGTGCAGTTTACAAGGTCCTAAGTCCTTTATAAGGTCGTAAGTATTTATACACAATTTACCTATTGATTATCTTGTAGGCTTCCTCTGTTCCTACTATAACTAAGGCGTTGACTGCGGCGTAGGTGGGCGCCAAATGGGGACACTGCCCGGGGCCGCCTGCAAATCCCCCACTGGGACTCTGGCACCTGCAAACACAAAATTGCCTTTATTGGAGACATTTTTCTTGAAGATCCGCTCTCTCACTTGGCAAGAAACTGGACTATATCACTTTTAAGACCGTCATTAAATTTCACCCCCATCAAAGTTAGCGGATGGAGCAGCCAGTAACAGATCCAGGTTCTACTAGCGTCGAGGATCTAAACACCAAAATCATATTGGGGTGTCAATTGGCTGACAACACTCACCTCATATTTGCTGGATATAAACCTCAGTGACTCCGAAAGGAAGAGCTTGTGCTGGTGCTTAGAGAGCAGGGGCACGTCTTGGTTTACAGTTAACGTCGCATGCAAGTCGCTGAACTTTTTCAGGACGGTTCTTTCCACTGCAATCTAAACTGGAAGTTGCAAAACACACTGAAAAATGGCGATACACGGCTTTACCTGCTCCCGGGTGGTTTTCTGCGAATTGCTGTTGTTTAGGACAGTTTGCTGATCGGCAATTTTGTCTAAATCCCGCAGTTTTAATAGGGTTTCCATGGCTTAAACATAAAAAATTGTGAACTTTTCAACAACCTTAACCTAAAATTTACAGCAGTGTCAGGCAGGTTAGGTTATGTTATGTCTTAAGCTTTTTATTTGCGTCTACGGGACAGCCTGACAGAATTTATCCATATCTGGTAGGCAACTTAAGCTTGGTGTAATTCGTTCTCCCACAGTTAAAATCGCTAAGCAAACAACAGGTAGATCGAATTCAATATTATTAGCGGAACCACAAACCATATATTCCGTGGTAAATAATAGAAACCTGAAATTTTATGCAAGGGTACATTTTAAGGAGCTGCCCACTATACTTGATTACACAACATACAACCATGCTTCCTTTGCTCTTACTGCTCTTGGACTACACAATAAATTAATTTTTGTTACTTTTTCATTTTCAAGTCTAAAACCCTCTGCAAAGCATTTTGTAATTATATCAAAAATGTATAGAAGAAATAATGGAATGTGACAAAGACTTGATAAGCTATATTTAATTGCATACATCAGACAGGAAAATCGCAAGACACGCCCAAATTCGTAATCCTGCAATCAGTACCACATGACGTCAGGCAAATCGACGCAATATCCTACCTTGTATCCATTGCATCACGGGATAAACGTGCTAATTTACCTGCATCCAGGTGCAATTGATGTCGCCAATTGCCATTGAACTCGTTATATTTAAGCGGAGTTGACGCACGCACGCTTTTAAAAGTTACATAAGCAGTAAATATTCCTACATTTGGCTGATGGTTAATTCAAATTTGCGCCCATAATCACTCTTGGCCAATCGGAGCGCCGATATATTCGAGCAGCTCTTTTGTTTTGAAGGCGATCATAATCGATAGACTGCTGTGGGCGATTTTCGTCCCTATAGCAACGGGACGTAGAAGCACATATTGGTCGTGCACTTGACAATCAGCTGTTTGCCCATTCAAAATGGCGTTGTGAGTGTGAGGAGACAAAGGAGCTCGAGTGTTTCAGTGCGAATTTTTCCTGGAAAAGTCCAGTTTTTGTGCGTTTGCTTAGCTGGGAAAGCCATCTTGTGAATTGGAAAGGAAAATGTTAGGACTTGAAGTCGTGCCAGAGCGTTCCTTAGGCTGTGAACAATGGGAGTTTATTTTAGGTGGGTATCAGCGATCAGATACGAAAGTGCGTTTTATTTATTTATCCACTTCGGATGTAAACAATGGTCCATTGTGGGGCTTTGCCTCATTGAAGGAGGCTGGATCCAGCTGCAATTGCTATTTCTGACCAGTTGCCTGCGATTTCAGGGCTGATTTGTCTGGGGCGAAGCTTCCTGGGCTTTCTCAAAGTTGGTCAATTGTCCCCCATTGGTATTGATTGCTTAATTACTAACTTGATAGCTTCAATTGTTTATTGCCCCATAAATATTTAACGTATTTAGCAGTTAGCAGCAACATTTAGAGGACAGCATAACAACAAACGTTGGTTTCATATTTCGAGCGCATTGAACAGAGACATTTTCGGTTTTCCTAGATATTTTTTTTCATCCATCTATTTATACCAACGGCCAATCGCTTCCCCTCAGTAACTGAAAACATCCAGGAAACTCCCAGAAGTTTCCTATTAAGTAAAGTGAGTTTTTCCTCACTTAAAGCAGCCCATTTTCTGAGTGATGTTATGGGCCGCTTTCATTAATTTTTGGTTTTTCCTCGCCAAAGTTTTGAAAAATCCGTGTTCAACGACCAACTGCTTCGATTTAGTATCCGAAAAAATCCTAAAAACTCCCAGAAAGGGCCGGGCCGCATTCAGAAATTTTTGGTTTTTGCTTGGCGAATTTGTAAAAAATCCGTGTTGTGCAACGACCGTTCGCTTCGACTTAGTATCAGAAAAAAATTCTGAAAACTACAAATTTTCCATTAAAGTGAGGTTTTCCTCATTTACCTAAAGCCGCATATTTTCTCACTCGAGTGATTTTCTGAGCAGGCTTGAGATATTTTTGGTTTTTACTTGACAATTTTTTTGAAATTCGTCTATCTATTCCAACGGCCAATCACTTAGTAAATGAAAACATCCTGGAAACTCCCAGAAATTTCCTAATCAAGTTAGTTTTTCTACATTTAAAGCACCGATCTTCTCTTTCGAGTGATGTTATGCGCCACATTCAGAAATTTTGGGTTTTTCCTTGGGGAATTTTTGAAAAATCCTTATTGTCAGTGATCAATCGCTTCGATTTAGTATCAGAAAAAGTTCTGAAAACTCCCAAAAATTTCATATTAAAGTGAAGGTTTCCTCATTTAAAGCCGCAGATTTTCTCGAGCGATATTCTGGGCAGGATTGAGAGATTTTTGGTTTTTTCTTGACAATTTTTTTTCAAATCTCTATACCAACGGCCAATAGCTTTCCCTTAGTAACTGAAAACATCCTGGAAACTCCCAGAAATTTTCTTAATCAATTACGTTTTTCCTCACTTAAAGCACCCGATTTTCTCTTTCGAGTGCTGTTATGGGCCGCATTCAGGGGTTTTTGGTTTTTGCTTGGTCAATTTTTGACAAACCCGTGTTATTTTTGACAAACCAGTCACTTCGATTTAGTATCTGAAAACACCCTGCAAACTAGGGCTCCGAATTTTAAAAAATCTGAAATTCGAATATTCGTTTAGTGGTTTATTCGAATAGTAAAATTATTCGAATACTCGAATATCTAACAAATATTCGAATAATCGAGTATTCGAATTTTCGAGTATTTGAATATTCGAGTATTTGAATACTCGAGTATTCGAATATTCGTTAGATATTCGAGTGTTCGTGTTCGGTTCACCGTTTTCCAAGAAGAAAAATCGTTATCTCATATTATTTTTGGCAACTAGCCGCAACGGATAAATAATAAAATAATTGTCGGCACATTAATTGTAACACGGCGCAAAAGTTGATGACACGAATCATCAGAACACAGAGACGTAATTTTACATTCATTTGCAGGACAGTAAATATGATTATTTTCATTTGCTTGTAAATATATGGGTATTTGTTTATGCTTGTAGAATATGAATTATTTATTTTATAAAAGTATACAAAGTGCATATAAAGATAAATCAAATCAAATCAAAAAAATCAAAAAGATCAAACTCACAGTTTGATAATGTTGGTGTATTCGAGTATTCGATTATTCGAGTATTCGAGTATTCGA